ACCACAGTACCGGTTACGGGTTACAAATATGACAAAATCAACAATGCAAATTGTCAATATGGCGTTTTTATTAATTGTTCGTTATGTCATTTTTGTACTGAAGGTAAATTCAAACAAAATCTGCCAACTTTTATGACAGAATCTAGTGCATTTCTTTTAAATTTTAGTATATGTGCTGAAATTGTAAATATCTTAAGATATTATAAAACCCTTAGTTAATTAACTAAGGGTTTTTGGATTTATTTACACAAATTAAATGTTTAAAGTTTAACCTGTGAACTGGTCCCAATTTCATCTGAGTAAACAGAAAGAAAAAAACCGTGGAAAAAATTAATTTTATGGTTATGGATTTTTTAAAATAGGTACACTGAGAAAAAAGTTTATTGCTCCCAAATAAAAAAAATATTTAAATATGGGACAAGAGTACAGTTTATTTATCCTAAATATATTTTTATTCCCGACACATAAAGTTGTACTAAAGTATATTTATCGTTATTATTTCGACTATTTAGAGGTAATAAACAATATATTCACTACAAATAAAAGTATTAGGTACACAGTTTATTTGTCCCATTTTTTTCTCAGTGTAGGTACTAAATTTTCTAATCATTGCTTAAGCTAATAGCTGGATGAGTAAATAAATACAGAAGGGTATTAGAGCTTTAAGGGCATAAAACTTTTGTATTTATTGCATTTTTATTTATTTTTTGCAAGAAAAATTTTTAGTAACAATTTTTTACATCTGGCAACGCGTAGCTACTTTGTTGGGTGGTATCTACAGGGCCGAGCCTAGGGTATCTGCCGCCCGGGTGCAAGAATTAAATTTGCCGCCCCCATTAATGTAAAAAATTAGGTTGTCGGTAGGGAAGGAGTTCATTCTCAATAAACATATAACAAATTTTATAGTAAAATAACAAAGTATTTATTAACAAATACATAAAAGAATAAAATAAAAATACATTCAGGAAAAAAAACAAAAATAATTAAACTAAACTAAAAATCTAAAATCTACTTTTCTCGCTTTTTTAATAGCAAATTCCCTAATCAAGTCGCCTACATCCAAGTTGTTAGAAATATCTTCTTCAATACTTATAATTGCTAAATTTGAAAGCCTGAATTGACTCATATTGGATCTTAAATAGGTCTTAATTAGTTTTAATTTCGAAAATGACCGCTCTCCATGGGCAACAGTAACTGGTATCGTCAAAAATATTCTTAAAGCTACAAATAAATTCGGAAAGATGCCTTTTAAATCATTAACTAGTTTTTAACTTAAACGCATTAAAAGACAAAATAAACTACTATGTTTGCATCCTATTTGCCTCACGTTAATAGAAAAACTAAAAATTGCTGAAATACGCAGCCGTCAAATCGGAAGAAATTATGCTTTAACTTAGCTTCAGCTTGTAAACAATATCACGTGGTACACAGCGCGCGATTTAATTGATTTCCCGTAAGCCCGCTTCCGTAAAACATGAAACTTGACGAACTCGAAGCGGACGGACGGAAAGCGAAGCGGGCGGGCGGCAATCTATAAACCGGGCTTTAAGAAAATTGTCATCATTATTTTTTGGGGCTATCGCGCGTTCGGTTATGTCTTTTTTATCATTGCCGCCTGACAGCACAATTTTGGCATTGTTTTTATGTGTAGAATAAAAACGATGATTCCTTGAAACGCCGACATCAATAAAACGCAAATGATTTTTAGAAAGTTTTTTGCATATTGCAAGGTGGCTTTTTTATTCTTGATAATATGAATTTTTTGATGATATTTTGCCACCCTGTGTTAGTGCCGCCCGGGTGCCATGCACCCCTTGCACCCCCGGCACGGCTCGGCCCTGGGTATCTATTAGGGGTGTAAATCCCGGGATCCCGAAATCCCGGGGTACCGGGATGCCGTAAAAAATCCGATCCCGAAAATCCCGGGATTAAAAGTCCCAATGCCGGGATTTTAGTAATAAGTTACAAAGAATAAAATAAACTTTTTTTTAAGCGTATGACATTTTTCATATTATAATACATTTTTCATATTATAATACATTTTTCATATTATAATACATTTTTCATATTATAATACTCATAAACACTATATTTTTTTACTTAGTTCAAGTCAAATTATTATACACCGCCGTACAATAATGAAAATACATTGAAATTACATAGCAAGAGTGGTTCCATCTATAGCATAAAATCAGCAAAGAAAATGTAAAATTACAGGTCACTGTAGAATAAATTTATGTACATAACCTATAATATAACATATTTCAAACGTCAAACCTGAAAAAATGTCACAAACTTGATAATTTCAATGTAAGTTACAGCCCCAATTGGAACTCACCAAGGCCCGATTTATAAAAGAAATGGAATTATTTGTTAATGGGGGTAAACGTGGGTACAATTAATGTGCCTACGAATTCTCAAAAACCATTATTCCGACTAGTGTGAAGTCCGAAAGATATCGTTCGTTAGTTTGTTTGTTGTTTTATTTTAAATAGGTTTTAAAATTAATGATATATATTTTTTCGGGACTGATCCCGGGATCCCGGGATTAGTTACCTTTGGTCCCGAAAGGCCCGGAATTGGAAAATGGGCTCGGGATTGACACCCCTAGTATCACAGAGATAAACCAAGTGTGTAACCAGTGGCATATCACAAAAAATATAAAAAACTTCTAATGCATATTTTTTCTTTATCTTTGGAAAAATATTTTTTTAAATATTTTTCCTTTACTCCTTATGTCAAAAGGTATTCAGTATTTTAATATATAACATTAATTACATAACACCCTGTATATTCTTTGGTCTACAATTGTCGCAGGTCGCAGATCGCAGAACATAAGCTTGCGCAAAGCACCCAGCTGACAAAAGAACCTTGCTCCATCGCCACGTCGCGTTGTTCTTTGCGCAAGCTTATGTTTTGCGATCGGACCCCTGCGACAATTGTAGACCCGGCTTTACTATTATTCCCCAAATAGCACACGACCTCCCAAGGACATCCTGATTGGGTCTGTCCGGGCCAGTTTAGGATATCCCATTTCTGACGTACCTTGGACGTCCATGGGACGTCCTGAAATTAAATTGGGTATAGTATATTGGGTATCCCATTTCTGACGTACCTTGGACGTCCCTAGGACGTCATAGAATTAAATTGGCAATAGTATATACTATACTATATACCATATATATATATATACATATATATATTGGATATCTTCATGCCGTCTTTCCAAAAGGCAAAAAATGTATAGCATTTGCATCATCTGTCACCTCTCTAATGATGCAAAGTGACAGATATCTGTCACCTTTAATTTTAATGTTTATTAAATTTTAATCATGGCATTGTTTTCTCAATATGCGCATTAAATGCTTTTTATTTTTTTCATCGAAAACCGTTAGTCGTACGAAAAATGGTCAAGAAATCAAATTTGCCCTAAAATTAAAGGGGATTTAAAAAATAATTTTTATTTTGAAAAATAGCAGTGGCGTGCATAATATTTTTCCAAAAATATCTAGACCACATTCTGTACGGGTGCCACTGGTAAAAAAAAATTAAAAATCTTCTACATCAAAAACTTACTATTAATGCTTAGAAGGCGTGTGCCAAATTTTATAAAAATATCTAGGAAGTTATAAAAGTTTTAGGTCATAGGTTTATTTGAACTTTTTTTCTTAAAATCAACTAAGGATTCACACCCTTAAGGTTCAGCATCTTATTCTGAAACACCCTGTATACAGTGTGTCCAATCAAATCGGAACCATATGGAATAGTTATTTGTTTTACAAGTGTTGAAAAGCGACTTTTTCATGCGAGATTTTAAGTTGCCCACGAGCCCGTTAGGCCTAGTGTGCATTAACACGAGCTTGAAGAAAGCTTTTCTCACAAGTATAACACAATGTTTTTTCTGCGACCCTTTTATTTTTTATTATTTTTAAATAAAAAACAAAATAACCTAAAAACTTTTTTGACAGCTGAATGTCAAACGATGCTTTCCGGTTCTTTTCACACAGACCTGTCACTTTTCACACAGAAATGTCACTTTACATTCGTGCTTTGCCTTGTCAATGAAAAGATTCATTTTCTAAGCAACGATGCCATCATGAAAAGTGACTTTTACATAGTGGTCGTAGAAAAAACTTTTTTATTATAAGTATTGGTTTTATGAAAAAAAGTTATTCTTGATAAAAAGTTCTACATAGTCCAAAACTTAAAATGCAACCATCAGATATCAATTTTTTTAAGCCGTATACAAGGTTAGTCGAAAAATATGAATTTTGCTCAAGAGTTTAAAGTCTGTAGTTCGGAAAATGGGCGTTTCCAGACACATGTTCCTTATATCAAAATATTTGTGAATGACTGCCAACCCTTAAAATTTGACCCAACCGTTTCCGAACACCCTGTATAGTTATCATGACAACATGCGGATTTCCAAAGAAAAGTCTCAAAAAGCCCTCACAGTACCTTAATAAGCTGGTCTGAGTATATCCCGATATAGTCCTAATCAGGACGTCCTACGGACATCTGTAGACCTCCTAGGGACGTCAAACGGACATTGCGGGACGTCCTGAGTACTTCCGCAATGTCCCAAGCTGACGTCCCGAGGACAGCCTAAGGACGTATTTGTGCTTACTGGGTCGTTTATTCGCGCGGCAACTACTCATCGAGTCATGCGCGGCACGAACCAAAACTCGTCCACGGGAGCATCCAGCTATGCTTCTTTAGCTTATAAATCAGGCTTAAACAACACGATTTGTTTGGCTTCAAGATGTGTTTTTACAGTTGACAGTTGGCAATTTTTTGTTGACCGCATATTTACGCACAGAAAATTATTAAGGTTTATTCGGTGTTTTAAGTCGTATTTTTGCGAAAGCCACTAAAATTGTGAAAAAGTGCATAATAGTTCAGTGTTATATGGTCCAACGTTGGAACGAACCTATATATCCTTGTAATAGTCTTTAATTCCTCAGTTGGTACTATTGTCCCTACCCCAAGAAGTTCTTGGCAAGAACAACACTGCTGCTAAGTTCACATCAGTATATGTTCTGTCATAAAAAATATTTGTATTTATGTCATAAATTTTATGATGTTTGTGCATTTGTAGCCCCAAACAGGCAACTGAAAATCTTAGTAGGTACTTAAAGGGTATTTTTAATATACCTACCTATGAAAAATTCAGTTTAATAAAAACGGTTAGTTTGTGGTGATATTATGAGCTTGTTTTTATATTTGGTTATTTAATACCTACAGGCTTTAATTTAAGTTTCGTAATACAGTTTCGACTAGCAAGGTAATAAGAGTTATCGATGTTTAGTAGCAATTTAAGTTTAAATTATTGAATTTTTTTTCCAAACATTCATAATATTATTGATTTGTAAATAACGTAGATATCTAAGGTTAATAAAAACCCTGGTAACGATAACAATACGTGCTATTGTTATCTATGGTGCTACTCATTATTTTAACACAGTAAGAGTTCATTTGTGCATATAATAATTGTAATCGCCTCAAATGAGAATTCACTTGAACATTAGGAATGCACAACAAACAACAGTGATGATTTTAAATGCACAATGCAGTAACTCTGCTTTAATATGTTTATTTGGAATTTAAATAAAATAAAAATGTACAGTGGCGGAAATGGAATTGTGAACAACCATCATCCTGTTCATCAAAATCTAATCTTCCTTTATGAACAATCAACCTTACTTCTGGTTATCACCAGTCTTGGTATGGTCAATATTGTATCTTTGCTATTTACAGATTACATGAACAACTATGATGTTCAAAATTCCATATTTACCACTGTAGGTACCTAAAATTAATTATTTCTCTTTTAATTTCACTAGGAAATATTTTGTCTTAAAGGCAAAAAAAATTGTCCAAATATAGTATTTTCAAAATACAAATCAATTCATGAGTTGAGAACAAATGGCCTATGTTTGTACAATGAGTAGGCAACATAATACATCAATTCCTGATTATGAATCTGAAGAAGAGACAAAATATGTTTTGAATGAACATACATCTGAAAGCAATAACAAAAGGATAAAGATAGACAACATAATTGAAGATATTTCAGTTGTAACTGGATCTAATATACATAAATGCATCCCTTGGGAACATCTAGATTGTATAAGGTAAGTTATAACTTATACCTTATTTAAAAAGTATAATTTGTAATTTTTTAAATTTTAATTTTTTCCCATTGTCACAAAAAAATAATTAAGAAATTAATAAAAAATACCTAATTTAATTTAATTAGAAGTGAAAATATTTTCCTTCCAATAATACACAAAAACATCCTAGCAAACATTTTTGAGTCAATTTTATTGACCCAGTACCTACCTACATTTGGCTAAAAATTGCTGCATTGTGGCACAATATTGGAATACCATTATTAACTAATTAAAAAATTGTATTATTATACGGTTAGAATTCGTTAAATCGACTCGAAAAAAATGGCTATCCTTTTTTTTAATTAAAATGTTAATAATTTTATTTGGAACCATTCTTTTCGTCCTAATTTCTAAAATAATTGTGGCACCAAACTTTTCTCAACAGTTATAGATTCTCCAGGGTTGTATTGTTTTATGAGAAAAGAAGCAGAACACAAAATAATATAAATTTTTTATGAATAATTTATTAGGTAATTAACTAAAGTTTACCATTGGCCATTGTTTGTACAATTTAATGGTACCATCCCAAATAACATTTCTGAATTCATATTGTTATCGTTATGTTATCATTGCTGACTTGGTTATGATATTATAGACGCTCCATATTTGTTTTCACATGACATCATGAGTGAGTCAGATCAAAAATCATTTGTGATTCAGATTTGACCAAAAAAAATTGTGAAGGGGCCAGTTATCGATCCCGCTTTACCATTCAAACCACTATGCCTGAAACTAATATTTAACTCTCAGGCAATTTTAATTAAACAAAATTATTATTTAGGTTTTATATATTATTAAAGTTTTATATATTATTAAAGTAGCTCAGACGGGCTTCGTCAGTGCCTAAGCACAATAGGAAAAATATTTAATATTTAAAAAATCACTAAATTGTGACAATATTATTGTCACCTAAATGTGTAAAACTACTATGTGTTTTTTTTCAGTTTTTGCCATTTTATTGTCATTTGATACAAAAACTGCAAGAAATAAAAAAAATTTAAATTGAAAAAATTGACAGTTTTACACATTTGGGTGGGAATATGCATTTTGAGCGATATTACCCTAATTTTATATGTAGCTCACAAATAAAAATCATTGATGATGTTATTTTAAGATTATTTTGGGTTCAATAAGTGAATTCTAACTTATAATTTTTTTTAAGTATTAATGCTATTAGTGTTATCTGGGATTTAATTGGCCAATAACTAGGCAGAGCTGGAGCAATTTTATTGAGTACCCTTGAATAACATTGAATTAAACTTATTAAGTTTAACTTAACAAGGGCGTGTAAACGAAATTTAGAAAAAATCATTTTTTATTCATTTGTTAGGTCTATCTATAGAACCAATGTTCCAAAAATTAACAAAATTAAAAACATGAAGTTCCAGAAATATTTTTTAATTGTTTGATTTGACATGGACCGCTTAGAAATACAGGGTGTTTCATAATATATGCGCAGGACTTCAGGATGTGATAGCTCATCCAAAAAGATGAAATGTGATGTGATGAGCTATCACATCCTGAAGTCCTGCGCATATATTATGAAACAACAATATTATCAACAACTTAATTAAAATTTTAAATGCAGTGACAGCGCGAGTATAAAGGACAAAAAATACCAAAGCTAATTAATTAGGTAGAGAATTCTTATCACTTCTTCTATCATGACTTATGATTCATGGGTACCTTATTTCTATTTGTGCATTACAATTTGTCCATTTTATACAATTTTTTTGTCTAAATTTGTATTTATAGGTTAGGAGGACAGTTCTGAAAATATCCAAGAAAACCAGTTGATGTATGAAAAGATCTATAACTTTCTAGCAATAAATATAATTTTGGTTTTACTGTTGTAATTTGCCAAAATTTATAATTTGGTTATCAGAATATTAACACAAATTGCCCAATTATTGGTAGGTTATGTTGCTCAATTGAATTATGCAAACATTGATCATTAATTATTACTATTGGGCATTGTTTGCATAATTAAGTCAATATGTTTGCTTAATATTTGACCAATTCTAGCCCAACTTCCGTTTGCTGGGATAGTCAGGGTAAAAACAAGTAAATAAGAGCTACCTATATACAGGGTGCCTGTTTTTTTAGGCTAAGACTGGGTATCTCGCTTATTTTTACATAGTTGGTTAAATTAGGAAAAAGTTGCGCATTTTCATGCGCAACAATTAACTAAAAAGAAATTTTATCATTTATAATAGCTTTCAAAAAATAAAGTATTTATAAAAATTAATTTCTCTAAACTAGGATTTTTAATTAAAAACAAAGTCGCCAAGTCATTTTTGTATCATAATTTGTGATCTTGAAAACTTAATATGCAAGGTGTCCCTAAACTTATTGGCATAAATTTAGGAAAAGATTGAGCAAGCAAAAATAAAACGAAAATCTAAATAAATATTTTTCCTAATTACTTATGTTTCCAAGATACAGGGTGATAAAGTGTTACTTATCATATCAATTTTTTTAATATAACTTCTACTATGGTAGTCTTGGAAAGGTGATATTTTGCGAAAAGTCACTTACTACCAAAACACATATTCACACATAATTACAATTGTTTGAGTGAACACAGTGTCGTAGAAACGGGGGTTGCTTTAAGCAATATTATAATAATTGTTATATCGCATTATTTAAAAGGATTAAGGGGTCTATTCTGTAACTTTTTAGTTATAAATAACCCTGGGTTATATCATATCGACTGGTTAAAATCTCTAGAGCGATTCTGTAACTTTGTATTTGGTTTAAAATTTAACCCGATGCCGATATAACGCTGGTTATTCAGAAATGTATATCGAGAGGTATATTAGTAGGCGATAAAAATAACTTTTGAGTTATAATTTAGATTTAAATAAAAAACACTTTCAAAGGTGCATTATAAGAATAATTTCCTTTACAAATTATTAGTACTAAACTTTTTTGCTATTAATTACATAAACTATTTCTTACCCCAGAACCCTGTGTATTTTATTATTATTTTTTTTTTATTTAGTAATGCGGTACGAATAATGAATCGCAATTTACATTCTTAAAATTATTTAGACTTAACAAGGAAGCTAATTATTTTCTTATCGAAAATCTTTTACCACATATGAATGATGAATTAAGAAACACTGGAATACCTGCCCATCTAAAAATATTGTGAACACTAAAATTTTTAGGACATGGGGGTTACCAGCTTACTCTTCATTTTACAATGAGCCAATCATCAGTTAGTCGTTGCATATCAGAGGTGTGTAATGTTATTAATAATATTCTTTTACAAAGATGGATAGTTTTTCCCTCCACCCCTCAAAACATTAATTTTTTTATCGCTATGGATTTCCTGGGATTGTAGGCAGCATTGATTGCACTCATGTTGCAATAATAAAAAATATTCTAATAAAATAATAAGTAGGTATTCTAACTAAAATAATATATTTTAATAAAAAATAATATACATATATTCAAACTTTAAATAAAAAAAACATATTTATATGTTAATAAAAATTAAAAATCATTTACAAATAAAAGGTACACATAAAAAATTAGGAACTTTTTCAGTTTGGCAGCTGGTGGATTTTGTATACCAACATCTGAGTTATTAGACATGGGAGTCCCATGATGGGACCAACACCAAACTTATATGAGTTTATAATGACATTGAATGGACAACCTGCAGGTTCTGCCTAAGCAGAATTTAAATTGAAAAAGTTAGTTTTGCACCCCCTATTTAAGATTATTCAAATTAAAGGGGTGAAATTTATAATTCACTACTGTGTCAAAATTTATTTTGAAAATCCAAGAGTATTTTATACCATTTTTAATTTATTTAAAATATAGTTAAATTAATAAAAATTTAAAATGGCATAAAATCTGTAATAATCTGTAAATTAATAAAAATTAAAAATGGTATAAAATCTGTAATACCTACTTATTAATAAATTTTGAAATTTTTTCATTAAACGTTGGTGAACGTACGAAAGTGATTGAATAATCGTAATTAGGGGGCACGCTGAAAAAATAACTTTTTCGCAAACTTCAATTTAAATTCTTCTTGCGCAGAACTTGTTCATTTAATGTCAGTATAAACTCATACAAGTTTGGTGTGGGTCTAATATCTGAGATATCAGTTTACCCAAAATGCTCCAGCAGCCACAAATTGTCTTTATTATTGCCTTCTAATGGTTATTAAGCCCCTTTGCCACTGCAAAGTTGCTGGCTATCAACTGCCAGGGCAGTATATCTTGATTTTTTTTAGCCTTCTTCTTATGGGCTTTTTCCGGATAGGCATAGTTGAACGTATGAATGTTTTCCATATTCTAACTGCCTTCACCATCTTTGCACAGATTATAAAGAAACTACACTGACAATACTTGAGTTATCCCGTCAATAATAAACACGAAGTTGGCTACGCATTGTTGCAACACTAACTTTAAAATGGAAGGATTTATTTTCTTTAATTTAACATTTACTTAATAAGATATCATGTAAATCATAAGGTTTTAATATTTATATTAAAAATTAGGTAGTACATTTTTCCGTAAACACCTAATAAGTATTACATTTGTCAATGTTGAAGATGGTTCGTTGAAGTTCGTTGAAGTTTGTAGCTAATGTCACTAAGAGTTTTAACCATGTTCGATATGAAGTTAAAAATAACTAATAGTTATATTCATAACTTACAGAATGGGAATTACAGTTAAAATTATATCGATTTGGTTATAAATAAACTTATAACCCAGCCGATAAACATCACTAAAAAGTTACAGAATAGACCCCTAAAAGGTATATGATAACAATTTTTATTTTTTAATTGAAAAAACTAAAAAGGACATTCCATGAGCCTCGGGAATTTTTGCCCTGACCGTCACATTAAAAAAAAATAGTAGTTTTTTCAATTAAAAAATTTGTTATCATAAAAAAAGACAAAACTCTACCACAAAACGTGCTTGGGACAAAATTTACGCAAACTTGAACGGAAGATCATTACACTATTAACGACAGACTTACCCGACTACCATCACCAACACCCCCGCGACCTGCTAATGGGCAAAACCATTACCAAAAGAGTAAGAGTAGCCCAATTAAAATACTGGGCCCACGTCACTCGTAGGCAACGCAACAACATACTACAAGCCACCCTTAAACTAGACCTTACAGACATAAAAGTCGGGAGACCATGCTTCACATATCATCACACGTTAGCACAAAACAGTTGGGAGTAACTAAGCAACAAAAAAAAAATAAAAAATAAATAAAAACAACTGACACACTTTACCAAGTGCAGGAACTACCTGACCAGGACACGGACAATGACAATAACGAACAAGACAAAGACCTCGACTAGGAAACTACACCCCTGCAGCGAAATAACAACTCCCCAACTCCAAATAGTAATCCCAAATGTTTGGAGTAATACTAATCGACTGGTCTAGGGGGATTCCGCGTCGTACTTAGTTTTAAGTCGGCGTAATTGTCCCCCAAAAACCAACACCCTCCCGTCCCTCCTCCTATACCCTACTGGGCGTATAGCATCGGCTCGGCGAACCCGAGAATGGCTATTAAAACTATTCGCATCTCGCTCTCGAGCCTCAAATAGGGGACAGTACGGAACGCAATGGACATTCGCACCCAGCAAACACGGGTGAAGCCGTGCAGTTGCTGGGGGGGAACAAAAATCGGCGTAAGTAAACATAGGCCTATACGGGGTCCGAGAGTCATGATGAAATGGGGCTGGTTATACGTCTCTTATACTCATACTCATACTCACATAACTTTTAGTCCTTTAATGCGATGTAACAACTATTGTAATCTCGAATATCTCGGAAAGGGTTTATTTTATCGAAGTTTAAGAGGTACACCTTTTTAATAGTAGCCGAACTGAGTAATCGAAAAGTTGCATCAAATGGTAAAAAAACATAACCTCAAAGTTTGTATGGGACAATAAGCTTAAGCAACCCCTGTTTCTACGACACTGTGTTCACTCGAACAATTGTAAATATGTGTGAATATGTCTTTTGCTAGTAAGTGACTGTTATGTTAAGTAACTAACTAATTGATTAGCAAATTAAACTCGCAAAATTCCTTGGAGGGTATGTTTGGGGTTGCGCAGATATAATTTTTGCTGTTTAATACAATTTCATTTTTTATGAAAATTTGTGCCACATGTATTACAGATTAAATCTAATATTTTTCAAATTTTAGAACGATACAAAACCAACAAGCAGAGATAATTGAACAAAATAAAACAATACAAAAGCGACAATTAATAAAGATTGAACAAAATAAAACCACACAGAGGCAACTGGCAGTGCTAATTGAACAAAATGAAACAATCATTGAACAAAACCAAGTAATTATAAATGAAACTTCTCAATTAAAAGAGAAAGAGGATAAACAATTGTCAGAAAATCTCCTAGATCCTCCCTCTGGTTTTCCTTTAACAACTTTGGAACAATTTGATGAGTTAAATTCTGATCTAAATATGGAAGGACGTCGTCAATTGGTAATTCAAAACACAAAACTAATAAAAAAAATTTGCTTATATATTTTTTTTAGTATAAATATTTAATTAATTGTGGGGGAACCACACTAAGGGAGTTTTTAAACCGAGCCCTTAAAATAATCATGACAGATGAGTTGGTATGCAATTTTACCTGGCTTGGGGATAAGACCAATCGAGGGTTTGGTAATACTAAAGTTTCCAATGTTTTAAAACGTAAGTTTATTTAAAAATATCTTAATAATCAAATTCCATACTTTAAATTATTATAGATATTTATTTGTAAACATATTTATAAAAATCACAAAAAATCCTAGTATTTAGTATATATATTAAAAACTAGGACTTTTTCTTACATTTAAAAACTATATTTAATTTTACAAATAATATAATTTGTATCCATATTTTTTTCTAGAAGCAGCCCAAAAATGCTTGAAAACTAAAGGTCCTCAGGATATTGATCATTTTAAAAAAGAAATGTTGGAAGTATTAAGAGTTTCCAAACAAAGACATAGATTGTTTTTGAAAAAAACATCGGAGACAAACTCGAGAATAACGATAACAAAATTTGAAGAAGTAACCTATAATGAGCTCTATTGAAATTCTGATTTTGCGGACTAAGAATATTGTAATTATTTTTGTACAAATACATATTTATATCATACTGTTAATAGATGTCAATACCGGGATCCTGTAAAAAAAATCGATCCCGAAAATCCCGGGACAATAGCCTCAATCCCGGGACCTTCATAATAAGTTATGAAGAATTAAATATATTTTGGCATTAATTGTTAATTGTATTATTTAACTTTTTGTGGGATTTTTTAAGTTAAAAATAATGGTGTTTGAGTTGCCACAGGTGATTTTAAAGGATTTTGGGCGTCTTGCTCTGAAGGGATAACAATATTCAAAGCGTTCTCTTGTTCTAAGGGCTCTAAAAATAGTTTTTAATATTAATTTTCTTAGTTAAATATTTTTCTTTTAAATCTTGTTAATCAATTGCATCTAAACATTTACAAATCCCAAAAAAACAAATTATCATTATAGCATTGCATTATAAATTATAACAATAATTGTTATAAATATAATAATTATTATTACATACATATGAATTTAAAAATTGCATTTTCATTGGCGGTATTTTAGTAATCTCTAATTTAATTTAAATTATCGTGCCGTTATGTAAATCGAAAAATTTATTAATTAATTAAAAGTAATTTTATAAATTTGTTGTACGAGCCCTAACCACATAATGTTCGGACACTTCATAATTTATACAGAAATTTTTTTCGTGAATACTATCTTAAAATTATTAGAAGTTATGAAAAATTCAGCTTATTTTGGCATATACCCCTCGAAGCGATTTTTATTTTTAAAAAGTTTACCTTTTATTTTTAGCTTTTAAAAAAAGGCTAACTTTTTAACTTTTTTTTGCATGAGTAAAAAAAGTTATAAATGGGCCCATTAAAAAGAACATAAAATATTATACAAACCCTGAAAATTTGGTAAAAATTGTATAAATAATAAGAAAGTTATAGCGATATATATATCTGCAAAATCTCCCGTTTCCTAAGAAAATTGCAAAAACTCTTTAAAAATAGCATTTTTAAATTACTTATACTTTTTTATAACTTATTTATTTTTTACCAAATTTTCAGGGTTTGTATAATATTTTATGCTCTTTTTAATGGGTCCATTTATAACTTTTTTTACTCATACAAAAAAAAGTTAAAAAGTTAGCCTTTTTTTAAAAGCTAAAAATAAAAGGTAAACTTTTTAAAAATAAAAATCGCTTCGAGGGGTATATGCCAAAATAAGCTGAATTTTTCATAACTTCTAATAATTTTGAGATAGTATTCACGAAAAAAATTTCTGTATAAATTATGAAGTGTCCGAACATTATGTGGTTAGGGCTCGTATACTCTCTAAAAATGAATTAGTTAAACATGACTAATTTAAAATTTAGTGGCTGCTTTTTCATTTTCTTATTCATGTACATTTTCAAAAAATAATAATATTGATGTTGCTTTTACGACAAACTCTAGTAACTCCTCAGGTGATGATAACATTACTACTAAAGATATTAAAGAGATTTATCCCAACATAAAAGAAACCTTACTCAGATGTATAAATAACTGCTTTAAGACTGGCAATTTTCCTGAAAAATGTAAAATATCTAAGGTTCTTCCTATATACAAAAAAGGTAGTAAAGAAGATCCAGGAAACTACCGTCCAATATCTATTACTTCAATTTTCTCTAAAATTATTGAAAAGTTAATAAAAATAAGATTTATAAACTTCTTTGAAATATCATCTAAACAGTATGGCTTCCAGGAAAACAGCTCCACACAAAGTGCCACTATGGATCTAATAGAACAAATCTTTAAAAAACTAGAAGAAAAACTAAAAGTTATAGTAGTTTTTGTCGATCTGAAAAAAGCGTTTGATACAGTCAAATTAGAGTTACTTTTAAAAAAATTAGAAAAGAATGGTATTCAAGGTCCAGCTATATTGCTTATGAAAACTTACCTCCATGACAGAAAACAGTATACAAGCACTAATAACTGCATCAGTGACCCATTAAAAGTGGAGACAGGCGTACCTCAGGGATCAGTGTTAGGCCCTATACTGTATCTATTATATGTAGAAAGCCTAACAAAAGCTGGTTTACTAGGAGAACACTACATGTTTGCAGACGATACAGCACTTTTGTACTATCATGAGGATATGAAAACAATAGAAAACATCATTAATAGAGACTTAAAAAAGTTTTATAATTGGCTATGTTCAAATGGATTAATAGTGAATGAAATAAAAACTGTATATATGCAGTTTAGCTTAAAGAATAAAAACAACCCAAAAGTGAATCTTAAAATAAACAATGTACCCATTCAAAAAGTGACTTTCTATAAATACCTTGGATTAACAATTGATCAAAACTTGACTTTCAATGAACATATTGGTGAAATATATAACAAACTTAGTGGCTTAGTTGGTGCGCTTAGACGTGTAAATGAATATTTGACGGAGAGTTGCAGATTCCTTATATATAACTCATATATTAAATCAGTCTTAAGTTATCTCATAGCAATATGGTCAAATACATCCCAACGAAATCTAAACGGAATGCAAAGACTGCAAAATAAAGCGCTAAAAGCAATTTTTAATCTACCGTATGATACACCAACTAAAGACCTTTATAAAATAATTCCGGTAATGAATATTAAACAGTTAATTAGTTTCGAATTGTGCAAATTAGTATATAAGATAAAAAACAAAGACATTAAAACAAGTGCAAGCTTGAACATAAACTCGGATTTTCACAACTATGAAACTAGAGGAGCACAAAACCTCAGAACAGTCAGAGTTAGGACCAAAAAGGCTTCTGGATCAACAATACAACAGGGTGTTAAAATCTTCAATGATCTACCAAACTCCATTAAATCCTTGGATAAATATGAAAAATTTATAAAAACATTGAAAAAGTACATCAAGGACAATTTATAATTATTATACTGTTATTCAATTTATAAATCTATTTTTTCTTTATTGTAATGATTACTCTACGTTAACAGCTATTACAAGTTGATTTGTAGTTTCAATTTAATAAATAAATAAATAAATAAATTGGGTTAAATAATATTTTACATTTTATTTTTAAAAATGGCTTTTAAATTAATTAAATCATTAAATAGCTTAAAAAAATTTGGCGGTTAGCTAATTAGCTGAGCTAATCTAGATTAACCGGTTAAGCCGCCAGCTAATTAGCTAACCTAATTTAGTTAACCGGTTAAATTAGCTAAGCTGATCAGTTAGCTAGCTAATTAACTTAGCTAAATTGTAAAGCCCTATTATTTTTGCATACGAGTGAATATGCTTAACCCTCCATTAGGCGCGCCTGGAGTACATATGTACACACAGATCTTTTAGCAGTGACCCAGTAAAACTTGGCTTATGGGTGGTGCCACGCGCTTGAATAGTTGTCGGAAAGTAACCTTTTAATGTAAAATAAAGAGGCGAAGTGTGTATACAGCTGTGAAAGACGACTGGATTACGATTGCAATCCACACGCCTTACTAAGTAACATTTTTGTTTTAGTATACAATTTAGTAATTTGGCTGTTGATAAGTTATATTTTTTTAAGTAAATCTAAATTTTGGGTGTACAATAGAATACACTTTTGTTAATTAAAAATGCTATTATTTTGCATTTAAACAGATTGTTACGTATCTATTCAAAATGTCGAAATTATGCGCTTTAGTACTTGCGTAAACTAACAATTACTTTGTGTTTGATTTTTGGTTGCTTACAGGATAGGTTTTGTAAAAAAGAGTAATATGTAGGTAGTTCTGAAAAAAAAAATTGCAAACAAGCAGTAAGCATTGGTGTGATTTTTTGTTGCCCTACCATAAAATTCAAGTAAAATAATTTTTTTATGTTTTGTATTCTAATTAACAAACTTAAAAATGTAATTGAAATATATATATATATATATATATATATATATATATATATATATATATTTTTTAACAATATATAGGTAACAGAAATAAATTGGATTACCATTGTAATCCACGCGACTTACTGCGTAAGTAAAGTCCACGCGCCTAATGGAGGGTTAATACAGGTAGGTATATATTGAAATAAGAGAATATATTGGATATAAATAGTAACTTTGCTAACTTTTTTTAACAAAAAATAAGCGCCCCAACCAAAAAGTAACTTTACTATAAAAGTGACGTAGCGGGAGGCCTGAATTTTTTGTGTAAAACATGAATAGTAATCTCAAACAAGCACGTATTTTAAATGCACAAATATTGTATACATACTTTATTTTTTTAAATTTCCTCAAAATGTAACGGGTGCGACATTTGAACCTTTTATCGAGTATTGAAACTCTTCCGTGTTTATTCTCAAAGTTAACTTCTTAGCATTACAATGTACGAATATTTTAAGGTTATAAATTAAGTAATTAATTACGTCGCAATTAAACTATTTGACTTTAGATATACTTTATGTTTTGTTAAATACACATCTTATTTTTTTGTCAAGGTGTGGTACGGTTTCGCGGCAATACCCTGAATAAATGGTTTTGCACAGTGGGGCCAACAATAGCAGATTTCGAATTTTTAGCAGGCACGGACACAAACAAACAGGAAGTACTACAAGACCATCAAGGATAGGTCCTAGCAGCGTACTAACCTTAAACATTTAAAAAATGTAAAATCAATGTACAAAAAACAATTTTTGAATGAAAAATAAACACTAAAAAAATGTAACATCAATGTTGCTTCTAAACAAAGTTTGATCAACTCTACGTCCATTTATTTAATCAAACGTCAATCAAACGGCTTTAGCGATTTAAATGAAATTTTGTAAGCTGACAAATTTATATCCATTTTTCCAAAACCAAAATTGCGGACATTTTTAAAAATATATACAAAAATGTCCTGATTTCACGGCTGGAAAGGGGTCTGCACTTGGGTGCAAAAAAATCAACCCGCAATTTGCATTCGCATTTTTCTGCGTACTGTTTTAGTCTAGGCAATAAAAATAAAAATATTAGATATGCCATAACTTTCTTATTTTTTACCTATAAAATATATGTTAATATAGCCATTGTCAGGTAACGCATTAAAAAAAGATGCAACATTAACAGGGTGTCGCAAATCTAGCTAATTTGAACGGACCGCGTAACCCAGCTAGCACAAGTCGGTCTTAAGGACGTCCCAATTGGGATATCTCCAAGATATCCTCGGAAGTCCCAGGACCTCCTTAGGACATCCCGAACAAATGGGATGTAATGGCCTTTAGTTCCAGGAATCCCCAAAAAGGACCCACTAATCATGATTGTTTAGCTGGGCCATCACAGATGCACATCTCCAACTGATT